GGCATAAATTGTGCTATATTGAACATACTTTTATAATCAAAAACCTTTCAATTGAAACATCTCAGCTGGCCCATTGCTTTTAGCAAATCCAAACTTGAAGGCCATATATTACTATAAGGCATGGTGCATCCTAACACGGTAATGGGTCTGGTATCCTGATATCTAAATCCTTCCTCATTCAAAGTTATGTGCTTGGATGATAAACTCCTCAGTTAATTCCAATAAACTAAGCGAAGCATAACAGTTTCAAGTAATGGAATGGGATCTAAGATATCCAAGTTCTGGCCATGTGTAATGGACTGCATCCCTTCAGCTTTCTATGTACAACAGGTAGGCATGGATATCACTTGTGGAAACAGGTGATTGCCTATGTTCACACACAGGCTCCACTGACTGACTGTGGTACTTAGTTCCCTGAGGCCAGATGCATCCTCAAAATCATCCTGGCACCATGCTCCGGGGGCCACAACCACTCAATGACAGTTAGGTCTACAGAGTCAATATGTGAAATTTCACGTGGTCACTTAGGTCTCAGTTCTAATACGTAGTTAAAAATATCCCTTGTTATGTTGTCATCTTTAGTCCTTACTATCTCAGTTATGCTAGAATAACAGATTCTCTAGAATCTTTATTTTCATGTATTTCTCCAGTCCAAAATGTGTTTCAAATGAAGAGGAAGAGAGATGATGGAATATAAAAATAGTCTCAGAAAAATTCTAAGCATAAGAAATAATTCTCCCATTAGAAAAGGGCTTCTCGCTGCCCTAGACTGTTTTTACAAACTAGTATTTCATACTACATTCTATCAGCTGGTTGAAATTTGTTTTTGTTTTGTATATTAAATTATGTACAAAGAGCCAACATTCTGTTCATTTCTTGCATGTTATGTGAATCAGTTTAACGCTCCCTACTGTGCCAGATCATTCACCCACCTGGCTTAAAATCAAATCACTACTGAATAAGTTTTCACATTTCCAAAGCAAACTCACTCAACATTGTAATAACAAGACTGTTTCACTGTACTCTAGAAAAACTTTAAAAGTGAATGAATGGGAACAAATTAATAGTGGTCTGGATAATATTTCCTTATCATACAGTCCATTCAGAAGTAAGTGCTAACAGGTTTTGTAGTGTGGAGCCCGTAGTCTATACTGCCTGCCCCTTATGTCTTCCTCACCTAGGACAGACGTCACTAGTCAAATGCAAAACTCGACCTGAACCTGGAAGCACCCTAAGAAATCAACAACACTACAGGTGCTTCTTATTAACTGACCAGGGCTGGCAGGAAAGACCACACTCACTTGCCATTCCTCCCATGAGTAAAACAAAAACAAAAACAAAAACAAACCTGAGGGTGAGACTCATCCTTCTTTCTACCAACTTAACCACCTGAACAATTCAAAACATTCTCCTTTGTAACTATAAAGCATCATCTTATTACAGTAAAGAAAATTTAAAAGTCAGAAACATTTGTTGCTGTAAGGCTCTTGAGGATGATATAGTCCTCTCCTTTCATTCATCAGATGAGAAGACAGGCTAAAAGAAGGAAATGATTGTCCAACTTCACCTGATAATTCTGAGGTGAGCTGATACTTCTCTCTGTGTATCACCCCATCTCAGGCAGGGTAAAGCACAAACGTGAAGGAAAAGAACACTCTACTTCTTTATTTAGTCTCCTTCCAATCTCTTATTTCCAAGGGAGTGCAAACAGCTTTGGTTTGCATCTCTTACACTGCCTCACGCCATCTGCCTCTCAAAAATAAACATGCTTTTGTAGGCAAAGAGGAAGGATAAAGAAATCTCTGGGTTTCATATCCCTGCTAATGTTGCAAAATAGTCCACTCTCTCAAGATTTCTTTCTAAATTGCACAATGACCCAAAAACCATTCTATTCAATTTAATATTATCATTTTTCTTTATCCAATTACTTTAATAACCTGGAAAACTAGGCTTTAGGTATCTGAGTCTGAAAGAGCTCATAATATTTAACTACTATAAATGAGCACATGTGCTACAGAAACCACTATACAATGTTTTATGCTAATATCCAAAGGAAATCATTACCCTAACTTTGAAATGTTCTATGCTTAAAAGAACACACATACAAAGAACCTGTTAAATCTCCCAAATAAAAAAATATTATTACCTTCATTCATTTTACAACTTGTAGTGATATTTCCATAGGATCCTGAAGTATTAAGAATAGATGCTCACATCACAATAGCACTGTGCTAGCTCAGAAGTACTTAAATGATGCCACTAACAATATCATATCACAAAGAAATGATCAAAGCAAGACAACAACATTCTTTAGAACTGTTCAAATGCTTAAACCAGTAAGAATAAAAACATTGACCAAAAGATGAAGTTATTTCCTAACATGACCCTTCCTCATCAGAAGCAGGATAATTTCAGCTCAAAATTTTTAATATTTTGAGGCAGTCATTAAAAAATGTATACATCTTTAATACTCTTATATAAATTGTATATTAAGTATAGTATAATTGTAGAAAATGATCAAAGATGTGATATTCCAATTTAATTCTAGGAAAGTATTACTCTATATTCACACAATTGTAAGCTACACAGACAAAAGCTTCTATTTAGTCAGAAATTAAACCATGAAAACCTTTGATAATAGGGCAATTTCCTGTGCCAAGAACATTGACAATTCTGCTAAATTATATTTGGTAAGAGTTCCAAAACATATAAAATATATAATAAAATTGTTTCTACAAGAAGCATTTACATCTTAAATAAACATAAATATGTCCAAGAAATACTAGTTAATATAAATTACAAATTACAAAAATAACAATCAAGAGGTCCTAAAATCAATTTATTGAATTAAAATTTAAGCATGCTTACAAAGAAAAGAATCAAACCAGAAATCATCAACCTACTTCTTTTCCCAGTAAACGTGGCTAACAAAGGAATTATACAAAGGCTGTAGGATCCCACGACCAGCAGTGTCAATAAAGTAGCATCATAGTGCCTCTCTGAACCAGCCGGTGGGGTGAGTGTAGAATTGATAAAGATTTTTGAAGAAATATCAGTTTCTGTACAACTGCGAAATCCTCCTGGTATAGTCATTTAAAAGGATCAAAGCCAGCTCAAGCAGGGAAAACTGCAGCCATGTTTGGTCTCATATCCCTCATGCTTGCTCTTAGTGCATTAGAATAGAGGGGGGAAAATCTGTAAGCTCCAAGGCACTATACAAAACAGATTAAACCAGCTAGCAAATCGAACTAAGAGACTCACTGATTTGAATGCTTAATCTGCAAGAGGGACACCTCGCCACTAAACAGGCTCTGTGGGTGTAGGGAAAACCCCTTTGTTAATAGACAAAAAGGAATGGACAAAAGGATTTTACAGCCTCCTTAGGAGTGTCAGACACGGTACTGAAACATTGGCCAGGCCAACATGGCTGTCGATGGAAAGTGCTGGGTTACGGCAGCCAGAATGTGTCTGCTTGAAGTTCCACCTGCCCATAGCTGTAGCTTTAAGAGCATACTGTGGTTCTGTTTTGTGAGTTTGTTTTTAAAATTCACACTAGAACAGAGAAGGATGGGAGGAAAATGACCCTAAAATAATAGGTGTGTGAATAACCTTTTCAAATTCACAGAGAATTAGCTGTTACACACAAACCCTTCTGGGGTTCGCTACAACTTCAAAATTCAAACAATAAGCAGATAATAGTCTTGTTTAATTTTAAATAACATATTTCAGGATCCCCAAAGTGTCAGGATGCAGACACTTACCTGCATATGAAACCAGCTACTGCTAAGTGACCTTCAAAAATGTTTTCATGAACTGTCATTACCTCAATGCCTTATTGTCCAAAAACCATTTTGTCACACATTTGCTGTGTGACTTTGGACCAGTAACAAAGTCTCTGAGTCTCAATTACCCATACATAAAATCAAAGTAAAATCAGAAGTCATTCAAGGAAAATAAAAGAGAGAAACAATATACTATAATGTCCTATAATATTTCTTCACACTCAGATGTTCAACAACCATTATTTTGCTTTGTCCCTATTGTCTCACCAGAAAAAAGAAATTAATTTGTGCTTAAAGCAGAGAGAACAGTTCTCCAGTCCTCCTCACATGCTTGTATCCTGCTTTACCTGATATTCTAGTCATCCACATAAGTAACATCTTTCTCCTCAACTACTTTTTAGAGAAAGGACCATTTCATTTAAACCCTGGAGGTCCCACTACAACTCTCACAGCCTGGGTACAGCGGGTACACAGAAACTGTTAGGAGTGATTAAGTCAGGAATTGTTCGGAGTTTATTAGAGAAGGGAGTGAAAAATTAAGTATCAAATGCAAATATATCTTTTGAAAGAAAAGAATAGCTGAATCAATTCACCCACTTTATAACAAAAAACCAATTCACATTAACTCAAAACTTGAAAAATATTCTTTTAAGTTTAAATTGTTTAGAATTAGGCTTGAAGTTATGTTGGTCATACTGCACCAAATCTACCGTCCAAAGTAAAAGGTTACAAAACATATATTTTACAAGCTTCAGTCTTTTACAAAGTAAACAGAACTACAGTGATCTTTTTGTCTGATTTCCAGTTGGGTTCTAAAAGCTCCTCAGTTACTATTCTTTTGTTAAACCAACTCCAAAATACCATCAATTCAAATGACTCACGTTAGACCCTTTATGCAAGAATACAACAGATGCCTTCAACACATAATTATTTCAGTGTTTCATAGCACATTCAGCAAAAGTGAACTTTCTTAAAAAAGAATTTATCTTTCCAAACTTTCTGAGTAATTCCAAGAAGCATAACACAGAAACAGAAATTCTACTAATTATTTAGAAAGCATTGGTTTTTCTTATAACTGTTGTTTCAAAATCCAGGGGACAGGGATTTAGCTCAGTGGTTCTGCCACCTGCCTCACAAGCGGAAGGACCTGAGTTCAATCCCCGGTACCAAAAAAAAAAAAGACAGAAAATCCTAACAGGGTGTCATGGACCAACTTACAATTACTGCTGTAGGTGCTCAGATCACTGTGGGTGCTGCCAATCGACAGGGTGCTTCCTGTTCTCCGTAGCGCTGAACTTCTCAAAGATGCACTGGACTTAGGAAGTGGTCTAGGCAAATTCATCCAAGATGGCTGTGCACTTTTCAAGGATGTAGCTTTTCCTTGGGATTAAAACAAAAGTTTTTACTGCTATTCATTTGAAAGCTGGCACTTTAGGCTTGTAAACTCTAACTGCATTAACAAAATGAATATTCAGGATCATACATATTTGTTTATTTTCAACAATTTAGAGGCAGAAGAGCAGAAACAATGAGGTAATTAGGCTATAAGAAGAATATTTGTAACCCTGTTACCTGAAGTAATTAACTTACACATCTTCTCTGAAGTGGAAGATAGATCAGAAGAATCTTGCGAGAGAAAAGCTTTTGGCAAAGCTTAAAGCAAAAGCAAATTGATAATGACCCTCTCGGCACTGTTACAAAAACAAATTTACAAAAATAAATAAATTACTTTAGGTACACAGTAGGCTATGATATAAAAACGAAATCAGTGAAAACACTGTAAGGTAACCAAAACAAAAATTCAATCTGATGAGAAAAATATTATTTGAAGAATGCCTAATACCTAACACCAGGTGGTGCTATATTATTAGCATTCTTTTTCTTTCATCTCTAATCCCCAGTTTACTTGAGAAACTTAAATGGTCTTAGCTCAGCTTTCTAGCTCTTACTCATATATAACAAGTGTTTCTACTTTGCCCATGAAATCCGTACACTTCTGATCCTCTGACACCTCTGAAAACACTCTCCCCATGCTCACACCAACTACCTAAGTATTAGCACTTCCCACGTGCCATTCTTAGTTCACAACTTTCTTCAAACCCACTTCTGGAGAGTAGATTTTATTTCTTTTATGCTCTACTCAATCCCTCTACAGATGAAACCCAAATTCTCACTGAAACCCTAACCCTCCTGAATCCCGATGCCACTCATGTCTTATTTTCCTTGTTGAATGCTTCAACACGGACAGACACCAGTCTGGTTATTTATGGTAGTTACAGGACCATTTCCCCTTTTTAAAAAAAGCCTCAAAACACTGAAATTATATTTTCTTCCCTGGTATAAAAAGCAGTCCTAAAGTTGATTCCTATCATTTCTACCTTCTTATGCTATGTCCTACCCCTCTCCACCCACCCTACTTGTTTTTCTCCAGTGAAGGCTACTCCAGTGGTAGTGAATCTACAGTACACATATTGCAATGGGTTGTCTGTTATGTCTGAAAGCTCTGAAGTTTCGCCATCACTGGTCTACTCTATTCTTCTGTTTGTGCCTTGTGACTGAAATCGACCCTTTTCCTTTCAGTCCCTTATTTCCACCCTATGAATAAAAAGTCAGTTTAGATCCTTGCTACTCACTTGCAGCTCCACCCTAGATTTATTGATTCACAATCTGCATTTTAACAAGATCCTCTAGGTTAAAATATGCACTTAATTTCAGAAGCACTATTGAGAATCACGAGATTTTTGTAAGCTTTCCCTGGCAGGACACCCTCCTCTGTGTACAATGGACCATACTGTTCTTTATGCTCATGCCACAGACTTGCTTCTATGGGCATGTGTTTCCTTGTGCCTCCTTCCTGGACCAAGTAGTCTGTAAGGTTGCTGAGAACAGGAAAAATCACTGATTCAACACTGTCCCTTTGACGTAGCAAAGTGCACAGTACAAAGTGAGAATTAAAGTGTTTCTGAATGAATTTCTCTTTTAATGCCCAGAGTAGAGGACAAATTTTGATAGCATGTTCTCTCCTATGAAGCATTAAACCCTTAACTCCTTCTGATGAATCTATTTGACTCTCCCACCCACTAACTAGATGAAGGGAAACATTCTTCTTTATTACATATCCAGAGTCCCATCTGATTCTTTATTATATTTGTCACCAGCTTTACTTGCTTTTAGAGAAATTAAAAGAACATATTTTAAAAATATAAATATATCAAACTACTGTCTCTTCAGCAGAATCATTCTGAGTCATCATCAGAAACAGTGAACAAAGTTGGGCAAGTAACAGATCAAAATTTCTGGGCCACAGCTACAATACAGTTAAGGCACGACAAATTCTGAAAATTTACTTATTCTTCAGAATGGCATGTTTCATAGCATTGTTTCTGAAAACATCATAGGTTTGCAGACCTCCAAATTACTGCAGAAGACCTGTACCATGGCTGCTTTAAGCCTGCCCCAGATGCACACTCCCTCCGGAGCCCTAGACCTGCCCCATTCTATTTTACAAGTTTACCCCCATCTAGCTCCTACCCCCCAACTTAATGACAGCTTGCAATTCCTCCATGACTCTTTAAAACAAGCACCAAGGGTACTAAATAACATCCATTTCACCAAAAAAGTTGGTTCTTTTGGTATGCAGAAAAATCCTAACATTGCCTTACTATTACTGTCCTAACTTATAGATAAGAAAACTACTTAGATACCTAACTGGCTTACTCGGATCACAGATCTAACCAGTGACAGTGAAGCAAAGTGCCTAAGCACCAGCCCACACCTGTGCTGGGCCACAGAATAGAAGCACACAATATTTAACAGTCCCAAGCTTAGAGGCAGAGTGATTAAAAACAAACCATGAGGATGAAACAAAGGCACTGAACTCTCGTACCAACAATCCTAATGTTCAGCTTAATAGTAAAGTTGACCTAAAGTCGTTATATAATTGGATCTCATATAAAGAAGCAGTGAAAACATACATATCATCAGCAATATCGAAAGAAAGACAAGGCAAGACTGGCCTAATTGTGAGATGGCATTAAACTGAGTGTCAAAGTCAACCATGAAATCAGTACAGGACTTCTCTAGCTTACAGTTCTGAAAAGGCGACCTTTGCCAGTTCACATGATATATAATATACAGTAATTTATCTCACATGTGAAACGTAAAGATTTAAGATCTACTTACAGAGATATCATTGACCTTAGTCATTTATTTTAAGCTCATACATTTGGCACAGACTAAATCTCTGTTTAACAATATAATAATGTAGACTTAAGTTCTGTTTAGAGTACCAGTAGATCTATGTTGGGGTGGGGGGAAAGAAATGTAGAGAGGCAGAGGTCTTGAAAAGGGCCCTGATATCTGTGAGCATTTCGGAAATGAGTGGATACGGTCAAATCAGAGAAGTCAATGAGAAATTATTACTGAAACTAAGAATTTGATTGAAATTAGGTGGCCTTGGGGTTCAAGTCAAAAACAAAACAAAACTGCATAAATACAATTCTATTTTTGTATGACTCCCCTAAAATGAAAGCTTATCATATTTTTAAAGTTTATACTGATCTTTTACTGTTAAAAATGTTCAGAAAAATATACCTCAACTTTACAGGACTGTTATGGGATACAACATGTTAGAAAGCAGGAGGGAAGGGGAGGGATGAGAAATTTGCCCTTCATACATTATTAGTACTTACACATTACTTCACAGGAATTTTCTTTTGATATCGAGCATCTTTTATTACAAGAACTAATAAACAAGCCAGTGTGGTAGCACATGCCTATAGTCCCAGCTACTCAGGAGGGTGAAGCAGGAGGACTACAAGATTGAGGCCAGATAACGCAAATTTCTGCTTTTTATTTATTATTTTTTGAGACAGGGTTTCGCTATGTAGTTCAGGCTGGCCTTGAACTCATGGCAATCCTCCTGCCTCAGCCTCCCAAGTGCTAGGATTACAGGCGGACACCTCCACACCTGGCCAGATTGGGCAACTTAGCTAGACCTTGTCTCAAAATAAAAAACCTGGGGAATGTAGCTGAAAGCTATAGCAGGGGTTGCCTAGCATGTATGTGACCCTGAGTTCATCCCCAGAATCACAGTGGGGAAAGGGAAACTAATACACACTAACATCACTAGGGCCAAATTTAATGACAAAGTATAACCAAGACAAAACAGATAGCCATGTCTGTAATCCCAACACTCAGGAGGCTGAGGCAGAAGAAATCCAAGTTCAGGCCTAGCCTGGACTACAAAGTGAGGTCAAGTCAGGCCTAGACTAGATGGTGAGCCCTTATCTCAAAAAAAAAAAGCCAAGCCTTCCTCAAAAAAAGCAAAAACAAAATAAAGAAACTAAGATAAATGAGATCAATATTTAAATAGATTCCACTACTCATTTTTACCCTTATACAACTATGCAATAACTATTGTCCAATTGGTTTTATTTTACTAAGAAAAAATAAGTCAATGCTTTAATGATTTTGTATGTCTATTATAAAGACAACGACTTTACTACTGAAAAATTCTTCATACTGTAACAGGGATTTTCCCTGAGGCTGGAAATTAAAGCCAAAGAGTGAAAAAAGAAATAGAAAATAGGGATGGAGAGTTGGGTAGGTGGATAACTTATGGCTGGGAGGCTGATGGCATTAAATGACAGGTTAGCAACTTTAGACCTTAATTGTTGAGGGAGGATACTGGGAAAGATGAGGAGGAGAAGTATTTCAACTTTCCTAATGTTTGCACTAGAACTTGATCATGTGTTGTGGAGTACAGAACTGACTGAAGAGTTTGAAATTGAGGTGATACAGCAAGAGAAACCACCAGCAGTGTGAAGAGTCAACCCACAATGTGGGAAAAAGTCTTCACCTGCTCTTCCTCAGACAAAAGTCTACTATCTCCAATCTATAGAGAACTTAAAAAGATCAGACCTCCCAAATTTAAAGACCCAACCCAAAAATGGGCATCTGAAATGAACAGACATTTCTCACACAAAGAAGTAGAAAT